GGACATGAGAGTATCGGTATTCACCGGTATTACCGAATATCGGTATTAACGATCGCAATACCGGTAGTCGGCGGTAGTTAAGTTAAAGATCTGATATATTGATACCATCTTTCAGTCAAGCAAATTCCACGATGCAAATCAAAAATTCGAATTTTTGACAGATACAAATTATTGGTAATTTATCGCTCACACCTACCGTATATTCAACTTTATTTTTGAATAGTCTAAAAAACGTATAGACAATTATTTTTAAAGTTTCAAATAATTCTCAAAAAATACGTGAGAAATTGACACCTTGATAACCTATAATATTAAATAAGATGTTTCTTCAGGCAGATTGCCGTGTACAATAATTTCTGAACTCTAACAATCCGTCTAAACCGTTGTGAGTGTACGAAATTCGTAAAGGACCCTATCTGCATAAATCATACGAAAAAATACAAAATTTTAATTAGATTAGCCGAATCACTATTTTCAAGAGGATATCAACCCCAGAAATGCTTCACGGGTACGGTAATTTTATAAATCAACATCGTCAAATAAAAACAACTTTACTCAAGCAGCAATTTTTCAATTCATGGAAAATATCTCAGTAATGCTACATATGCACGAAATGTATTTTCAGGTCATGTTAGAATTTTAGAGTTTTGGAAATTTTCTCTCATGTACTTGTTTATGTATGTATGTGGAAAACTTGATGAATTTGTAAAAGTTGCGACATTAGGAGCCTAGGGAACATAGCGAGCACGTCGGATAATTCATAGTTATAAATTTGAACCAGAACTAAGAGTTTATCTTTGAGAAATACAGCTTGGAATTGGGAAGTGAAAATTGTGGAGTGAGAATTCGTAGAAACTGAGAATTGTAGAGTGAGAATTGTCGAATGAAAATTGTGGGGTGAGAATTGGTGGATGAAAATTGACACCGAATCAAAACTTTATAGACACTTTATACGTCCCCTTTTTAAATATGTGGTTGACCAATTCATTAACGGGTATAAATTGCGTATGTATGTATACATATATGTATGTATGTAGGTCTTTGAAGTATGTATTTAGTGATCTACATAAAGGTGTAATAAAAGGTTGGTATTGGTTTAAAATATTTTGTTTTCTAATGTTAGGGACAGTTTTGAAAAACTAGGAATTTCAAGCAAACCATTTACATACATATGTGCTAAAAATAATTTTCTACTTAATATAATAATTATGTAAACAGTGACGCATTGAACATTTTTGTGGTTAGTTGATTGTAGATGATTGTTTAATACAATGTCAGACCAGCTTAAATTATTTTATGTACCTGTTGTCACATTATTTGAATGCATTTAAACTAAATGTGTTTATGCATAGTATCTAGATATAGATATCTCTGTATTTAAAATTTTGTAAAATTTTTACATATAAATTTTTACATGATTACATATGTAAAGGCCGTGGTTTCCAACCAACCTGTTATCATATCCACTTCTTAATTCTCGTTCTACGAAAAAGGCGATTTTAGGGAACAAATAAGGGTCATTGTGGGTGAATACGTGTAAAAATACTATTTGAAGGATTAAAAAGGTTAGATTATGGACAAAATAATACCGTGTTCGTTCTATTAATAGTACTACCTTGTAGCTTGATATAAATCCTATCAATACAGTGCACATAATTTTCTTACCTGAGAAAATCGCTTGCAATTGCAGTCCATAAGTGCCCGTGTGGAAGTGACAACCTGTCTTAAAATTGTACGCATTAAATTTTCTAAAACAGCCACACATTTCAACTTCATACTTGGCCTGAGCTTAAAAATGCATAGTGAATCTCATCAAATCCAATCCGATTCAGTATCTGTAGAGCCTGAACCAGATTCTGTGGCCAACAGATGCCGTAAGTAATATTTACCAATTAACAAAAATTAGAGCAGCCGCTTTTTTGAAATATAGAATTGTTTATGTGATTATTATTTCATTTGTCCAGCTAATACTACATGTGTATGTACAAAACTAATATATAATGATAAATTTCTTTGCCCTATGTAGACGAGGCCGTCGCACATTTTCGTCATGATATCTCCCTTCTGGAGATGGAAGTCAAGAAACTCGATGACCAAAAGGCTAAAATGCAGATAGAAATGAGAGGTTTGGACGAGAGGAAAGATGAGATGAAAAAAGAGCTAAAAAATTTGGATAACAAGAAAGAACAACTCAAAAAACGAGTTCAAGAAAAGCAGGAGTTACGGGACAAACTGCAAAAATTATCTGAAGGTATGTATCAATTTATCGTATTTTTTAATTTGAATTTCGGTTTCTTCTAATTAACAGCTTATTTTCAGATTATGGCATGGATATAGATGTCGGAACGCCAGAGCTCTTGGAGTCAAACCCTCAGCCAAGTGGATCACGTGGTAAGTTTCAAACAGATTCAATTATTAATAAACTTACGCTCATTTTGATTTTATTTCCCATATTTAGGCAACCAAGCCCCCGCTATTAGTCCGACAGGGTGCCACACTATCCAAGCCCTTGGGACCGGGAGTCTAGCTGTCCAAGCTCTGGGGACAGGCAATATCATACAGACGTAAGTAACAAATCTTCTATAATTTTAATTTAGCTGCGCAAAACTTTCGTACCTTTTAGGATAAATAATTTCTGTCTGATCACTTTCATTCTTTCAAATGCTAGCACATCTGCCGATTCTTCACCTCTTGAACTGCTTGCCAGTGTTCCCGTAGCTGGAGGAGATCTTGCTTCATTTATAAGCAAACACCATGAACCGCCAGGAAAAAGGAAGAAATAATCACTGGTTGTAAATTAAAAATTACACTTTCTAGCACTATCATCTCTCTTCTAATTATAAGATTAATTCAGTGTCCAGATACTTCGTTTTTTTCAATATGTGAAAATTGCTAGCTTACATATGTACATACATATTTAATTTGATAAGTTCCCCCTTCCGCTATTGCAATAAATATTCGTTTAATAAGTTCCCAAATAATATTTGTTCCCGTTTTTTTAGTATAGTTCATCATCATTACTACAATTTCCGAAAATAATCCAAGGCAATATCAAGTGCATTTGAACATAATGAATTATTTTGCAAGCGAAAAATGAAATAAATTTCTTGGCATTTAAAAAATCGTTTAAATGTTATTTTCAGCACCTAACCTATTCTTTTATTTTTTTGAATTTTTATTATTGTTCTTTCCATGAAATCATTTTAGTACATAAATTTATATAAAAAAAAGCTAAACGACGAGCACCATCGCCTAAAATGGACATACATATGTAGTGAGATTTACGCACGTGAGGCAATAAGCACAAAACATTACACACGTCCTAAAGATCTTCTCTTTTTCCAGATAATCTAAAAAATTATGGAGCTCCTCCCATCGACCGACCAAAAATCCGCCTCCCTGGTCAACACCACGTGGGAAGGGGAAGCTCTCAAACATTTCATCGCTCGAGATCCTATCCATATCCAGCTAAACTCCAATGTCACCGATTCCACTGACCTCGTCACCCTGACCAACTTATCCCCCACAAACCTGAAAATTGTCAACTGGAAGTCCGACAATTTGGAGAATGTACTCCCAAAAATAGACTTACTTGCCTCCTTCAATTTAAACACCGTGACAAAATTAAGCCTTGAAGTCCCCCTCGATTCAAGCTTACGCCACATGGCGTCTCGTTTGGTCAAAATTGTCCAACCACTCAAAACCTTACGATTGTTAGAATTGCACCCACACTTCTGCTCTTGGCACGGAATGAATCCCTCTTTTCCCCCCTGGGAAGACATATTCCCCGAGAATTTCTCCTACCCGGGAAACCTTACAACTTTAGCGGTTAATATGACCCGAGTCTACCCCGATTCGGGCAGGAAATGGAACCAGGTTATCGCCCTGGCCACTCGAATTTTAACCGTTTTCTGCCACGTGCGTCATCTCCGCATGACCAACCTGCCTGGCGGGCTGATTCAAGCAAATAATATCAATTTACCCCAACTCGAATCAATCTCCTTGCAAAGAACCCTTGCCACAGTTCCGTTACGATATGAATGCATTATCTCACTTTTCAAATTCAATTTGCCGCTGCAAAATAGTTTTCCACACGTGGCCCGGCTCGAATTCAGTGTTCTTTTGCACCATCACGTCGAAACTGTCGTCCTCTTGCCTCTCCTCGCCCCACAGCTGGAGCACGTTTGCATCTCCGGCGTGCCAAATGTCGCCCCAAAATGCCCCACGGAGGGAATTTATCATTGCCGTGCCGATTCTTCATAAATTGAAGGTTTTTTGGAAATTCTGAGGGAACAATTAGTTGGAAAATCCCGAAGAGCAGTGCGGTTTCGACCGCATCTTTACCTAAACTTTGAAATAGGGAGGGACAACGTCAAGTTTTCGAATGGAAATCAGTTTCCCGTTCTTGAAAGGTTAATTGTACGCGTGGTGAATGAAATTATGCCAAAGTGGAAGGAGAAATACTGGAAAAAGCCAGATGTAAATTTGCATTTTGAGGCGACCATGCTTTTTCTGTACGAAAACTTTTTGGCCGAGGGTCTCGAACCGTGTGAGACGTAGAGAAGTTTGAGTATCTCGTTTCCCCAAGCTGGGGAGTATGCAAATGAGGCGACGGTGTGATTGTGGCGATGAAGTAGACGTTTGTAAATGTTAGGGGTGGAGGGAAGATTTTCCTGATTTTTATGACAGAATTTCCACCATTTTTCCAAATCTGAATTATGACGTGGTCTAAAAAGGGAGGATGAATGAGAGGTTGGCGAAGATTGAGAAGATTAAGGAATTGGCCACCCATGCAGGGATTTTTAATGATGAAACATGTTTTTGTAAAGATTTTGGTGCGAAATTGGGTTTTTAGAAAGGAAATTTAAGCAAAAGTTGAGTTATGCAAGTCTGATTGATTTCATATTTGATTTTAATTCTTGAAACTATTACCAATAAATAATAAATATTTGAATAATTAGTTAGATAAAATATTTATTACTTAGGGACAATAATACAGTAAAATAAAGCAATTTTGATTTGATGCCGGACATATTTGTGTATGCATGTGGATCACAAAACATCATTTTCCATTCCTTCATGAGCTTGAATTTGCATTTTCTCGCTAACGCCAAAAATATTTTCGAGAAAAGTTCAAACTCTCGCATACGGATTCCAGAATAACTTCGCTTAACCTTTGTATTATGAAAAATCCTGAAATATGTAGGTGTGTGTTTATGTATTTATTTAGGAAACTAGCCTAAAAGCCCGTCTTAAAGACGGCCCACAACTAAAGTTTTAGAACCCACCAAAACCATTATGTGAAGGCATTACATAACCGGTGTGATGCACTAATCCATACCGAAATTATAACACGAAAGAAAAAAATCATCTAAATATGCTTAAGCTTCGAAAAGCCTGGCCCATTAAGCTTTCCACGACATTCCTGCGTTATGAATGGTTGCCGGCTTTGTAAGGAATTTATATTAACGTTGCTAAGGATTTATTTTAACGTTGCTAAGATAATTTTTTAACGTTCCTAAGAAAGTTTTTTAACGTTGCTAAAGAATTTTTTAACGTTCCTAAGAAAATTTTTTAACGTTACGAAGGAATTTTTTTAACGTTACGAAGGAAATTTTTTAACGTTACGTCATAACCGAAATCATAACAGAAATCATAACCGAAATCATAACCGAAACGATAACCGAAATCATAACTGAAATGATAACCAAAATTATAACCGAAATCATAACCGAAATCATAACCGAAATCATAACCGAAATCATAACCGAAATCATAACCTAAATCATAACCGTAATCATAACCGAAATCATAACCGAAATCATAACCTAAATCATAACCGTAATCATAACCGAAATCATAACCGAAATCATAACCGTAACCATAACCGAAATCATAACCGAAATCAGAAATCTTATCTGTGCTGTGATTGGTGGAGCCAGGAAGCCGGCAACCAATCAGAATGCAGGAATGTCACGGAAAATTTCACGGGACGGACTTTTCGAAATTATAATATAGATTCTTTAAATAATGAACTGTTTTGTCACATATATACATTGTTATTCTTTCCGCCTCGAGGCAGTGTAGTTAAATCATATTTGCTTTTAGAACTACTAATCAGGTTAAATTTTTAGATCTTAATCTGATTAAAAGTAATCTGCCAAAGTAAATACGCATCAGATTCATCCATAGTTAAATTCTCCTGTTGAGTTGCATATACATACATAATTTCTCGAAGGTCTGTAATTTTATGGGAACTGCAAAGGGTTGAAAAGCTTTGGGCTCCGAAAGGGTTTAGGCTATATTTAAACAGATAAAATGCATTTTTCCCTTGACCATTAAAATACCTCGCTAAGCTAAAAATGTGAATATGGGGAAAATTAGAATACCAACAATGGGTAACCTTACATGTTTTAAGTAATTTTCGTGTTTATACATAAGTTCATATGAAACTGATAAGGTTGCCTACAAGTTGCTTAGTTAGGATTAACCCTTTGGTGTACATATTTAGGAAATGTTTAATAGCGCAAGCATGTGCATGTCTAGGCAGTCCACGGGATGATCATAAATTATGTATCGCAAAACTTACGCCTTGCTAGACTCCCCTTCCCACGTTTGTCACATAGGCACAATTGACAATAGCATTGGCGCCTTAGACCCTCCTCTCTCATTACATAATTCATGAACATCCCACACACATTTCTAGAAATGTGTGCATATGGTTACAAGTTATGACATGAGCTTACAATGGAATGCACAATTTCAACAATCACATTCCATTGCCAAGTCATTTCTAATACACAATCCAAAGTTAACGCTATTTAATCCTCCATATTTTTAGTGCGTGTGTCAAACTAAATACTATCTACAATACTTTGAAATTGTACTGAAATAAGTAGTAAATAGTTATCTACATACATATGAACATTTACAATAAATTGTTTTAAGCACGGACAAGTTTCAGAGAAGAAAATTTCTATTACAACGTACAGATATTTAAAATACGAAATAATTGTACAAAGTTTTTAAAAATCGATACCCAGTTTGATATAATTATTCTCAATCCTCAATTATGGAGCAGGCTCTCTCAAATCCTTTGGTAAGAAATTTAATAAACCTGTTACACTTACAAAAATTCCTCAAAGTTGAGTAAGAAAAAATATGATACCACAACCAAGAGGTACAATTTATTTATATTAAATTTGTGCAACAACGGGTGGAAAATTTTTTCGAAACATATGTAGAATAAATTTTATTTTTGGTTGTGGCATCTTCTTTTTTTTTAATCAGCCTTCATGAAATTTTACTCATTTTTATTTAGAGTGCACATAAAAAATAAAGCAGAAACGCAAAAAAGTAATCCAATATTTTTTTGTCCCTCCTTTTTTCAGATTCTTCACAAAATTATTGAACGATTTGCACGAACAGGAAGTAACGAATTGAAAAATTTACGCCTTGTCGCCACCAACTGGAACGAGGCCGTCGTCTCGCTCCTCGGTGCAAACTTGGTGCTAAATGTCAATCCCGACGTCGAACCGAGGGGCGCAGGTACCTTCATCTCTTCCTGGTTGTGTCTCAACATGCACCCCAAGTTGATAAAATCGATTCACTACAACCTCCATCCATGCCTTTATCCAGGAAGGTTTCACATTTTTGGATGTTTTGTTTCCCAACTGGGTCACTTAATTGAGCACCTTTCCATCCTCATTTCCGCCGACATGGGTCAAATTTTGCACACTTTTTTCCTCAAGTTTAACCTGCCGAACTTGAAGGAATTGGTCGTCACGATTAATGACAGGAAAACGCTTGGGAAATGGAAGGCGCATATATATGCTTCTCGTGCCACCGTAACAGGTGATACTTCAATTATGTATAAGTGGTCGCTTTAATTTATTCAATGCAGAATTAATCAATCGTTTATTCATTATTCATGAATAATGAGTGAATATTTTTTTTGGAAATTTTTGAATGACTTTTGAATAAATATTTCGTTTTCTGAAGGAACATTCGTATATTACGTAATCAAGGTGGGTG